GAGAGAGAAGACACCTACATAAAAGAGGCTTTGTAAGAAAGCCTTAATGCAAATCTTCAGGAATATTTTCTGATTCCGTTTTCCCAGCTGTCACTATTAGAGGCTTTTTGATGCCTGAGTGGGGAGCTGATTGACAAGTAAAATGTGGAAGTGCCATGGAAGTGGCAGATGAAGTATTGTGGGGGTGTTGAATGTGATCGTGGGCATCAGCGTCCTGGCTGAGGTTTGGGAGCTGAGCGCTGTGGCAGGTGTTGCGGGGCTGTGTGCGGAAGAGCAGATTGTGCACCCTTTAGCATGCTGCTCAGTGTAACCAGGATCAGCTAGATGTTCTCAGATGTCCTTGACCCGTCAGGCTCCTAAGCATCCTCCACGGCCCCTGCCACTGGAAGCCCTTGACAGCGCTCGTGCTATGCTGTGTCTGTCTGTCTTGCCGTTCTCAGCCACAGCACCGTCTGCAGTGTGTGACCTGTGAGTGTCCAAGCTCAGACTAGACCTGAAGGGTGTGCAGGCAGCTCACAGAGAGCTGATGCCATTCGTGTTCCTGCCTTTCAGGCTTGACTCTGACCGGGAGTGTGGGTAGATCAGCAGGAACATTCCTTATGGTTTTGCTTTGCTTAGCTTCTGTGGAAAGCTCCCGTTTTGCTGCATGGACCAGCCCCATCTCCTTGGCAACTGAGAGCATCGCTTTCCTCCTGCTGCCTGTGCAGGGTGTTTAATTTTGGGGGTACCTCCCTTCTTGACTCAGAATTAACAGTTGCTGTGCCAGTTCTCACAACAGCTCTTACTTTTCTTCCCCACCCCACCCCCGAAAATTGTCAACCTGTAAAATTGAGTTTCAGGGTGCTGGAGAAATGGTTCTGCCATTAAGAGCACTGGCTGCCTGCCAGGGGACCCTTAAAATGAAATGATTCGTTTGTTTGTTTGGCCAGTTGGTTGGTTATGGAGACAGAGACTTACTATGTAGTCTCAGTTGGCCTGCAGCTTGCTGTGTAGACTAGACTGGCCTCAAACTCACAGAGATCCATCTGCCTGCCTCTGCTCCTCTTTCCCCGCCAGTGCTGGGATTAAAGGCATGGGCCACCAAGCCCAGGCTGAAATCATTGTTCTTGATGGAGTAATCCCAAATTAACCCCCTCCACACGTGCCTACAAAAGTAGTTTTATCCTGATCTCTTTTTCTCCTTTTGTTTCAAATTGATCCTCCTGCCTCAGCCTTTCAGATGTTGGGGTTATAGGTGTGCACCACCACACCTGGATTGCTTTTTAGTTTCTTGAGACATGGCCTGACGATATATCCCAGGCTGGACTTGAATTTGTGGTGATCTTTCTGTTCCCTGAGTTCTAGGGCTTTAGGCAAGTGCCGCCAATGCCCGGCCTGGTGCTGCTCTCTTTCAGTACCTTACGTTTCTCCCACCTGTAGGAGAGAACACTTACTCTGTTCAAACGGATGGTGAAGACTGATGGGCCCGGCTGGATGTTTAGACTTTACAGTGAGGCTCCAACTTTGCTCTGTCAATGTGTAGTGTTCTTCTGGGACTCCCCACCCACAGGCCCCTGCCTGTTCTGGGAGCTCCCTAGAGTCTCCACCTGCCCCATCCCTGGTTTCAGGACCCCTGTTCACCGAGATCTGGGGTTTTCCTAACCTAGCCAGCATCTGTTCTTCATGAGGATTAAGGTGCTGTGGTCGTTTGTTGGCAGTGCATTTTGTCTGTGACACCATTGGTGGTTGCTGTTGTTTTCCTCTCCTAGCGCTGGAAATCAAACCCAGGCGCTCTACCACTAAGACAGACCTCTGCATGTGTTCAGTCCTGGGAAAGGATGGATAATGGATTTTTTTTTTTTTCTTCCACTGGGTCTGTCAAGCCTGGTAATGAATGCCTCTCTCAGTATGTTTTCTGAATGAGATTCTGCACTTTTAAAGTTAGATTATTTTAAAGTGATGGAAATATTGAGGAATCTTTAGAAAATGCAGGGAAAACTTTGTGCTCCTGACCACTATCATATAGAACACTCTGTATTTGGCTCTCTCTCAAGGTTTTTTCCCCTACCTATTGAACATGTGGGGCAGGATCTCGCTGTGTAGCTTGGTCAGCCTTAGATTCATGTCAGTCTTCTTACCTCAGCCCTAAATACTGGGCTCATGGACCTAAGGTCCATGCAGGCCTTGAAACTGGCCACCTTGTGCCTCCTGCCAGCCAGGATCAAAATCCAGGGAGGTTGTCGTCTGCCTTGTTCATAGTGCCGGCGCAGGTGCCGCCCTGAGACATTGTGCCTCTTGAGAGGGTTCTGGCTGGTCCCCGTGGCCTTGAGCAATTGACGAGGTCCTTTATTTTGGATTTGAGGCCCAGATTAGGATGGCAGAGAGGGTATCTATTACAGTGTTCACTGCTTTCGTGTTTGGCTCTTCCTGGGGCTCAAGCTCTCTCTGCAGGATGCAAACACACCCTCCACTGACCCAGATTTGTGGGATTGTTTCAGGCGGTTAACCGCCAGTGGGCCGTTTCAGGATTGGATTTAGTCCACTTTCATTTATGAGAAGGAAAATCTGGGGATTCCACAGCACCTCGTGTGAGGCTGCGACAGCAGATCTGAAGTGCAGTGGGGAGGGTACAGAAATCTTACCCACCCCGCCACACTGGGTAGTGGGGGAGGGGTACTCTCTGGAAGGATAATTTGTCAAGCCCAAGGCTTTGTCCAGGATTGTCCCTCATCCCCACATCAGGATGCAGCTGTGGTATTTTGGGATGGTTGAGTCTGGGGGACTGTGGGGAGCACAGCGCTGGGCCGCACTCCAGCACCAGCCAGCCAGGGTGGGACCAGGTGTCCCTAGCAGACTGTGTGGCAGCCACTTCACAGTGGCTTTCTGTTCTGAGTGCCAGGCAGAAGGGCCTCTCGTCGGCACCCTGCTCACGTCCCCACTAGGCTGAGGGCCTGGCATGAAGGGAGGCTCCGTAGCTGCTGGAGCCTCAACACATTTACTGGACTTTTGTTGGGGTAGGTCAAAGGTGCAAGGGAACTCAGGGGCCACCAAGTGCCCGTTTGTGGGTGTCCTGTAGCTAGCTATCCATGGCTGTCAGAGAAAAGACTGCTGCATCCGGGGATATGAATTACCGTTTTAGTCCACTTGAACTGAAAGAACAGGTATTCATTTAAGTGCGTTTGGAACAACCAAGGAATTGAAATTGACTTGTTCTTCTGTAAATTTTATTAAATCTACATACAATTCAAGTTTTTCCAAATTGCATACAAATTGCAGAGTGATCTAAGTGTAAAGGAAATTCTGGATTTCAAAGATCCTTGAAAAAAGAATCTAAAATGAATCCATTTTAATCTTGACATTTTAAAAATGATTACATTTAGGTACACTGAGTTAGAAGTATTCACTTTTATTTACCTTTTTAAAGCGGCCTTCTGGAAAATTTGGAATTGCTATGTGTCTCAAGTTACACGTTACTGGCAGTAACAGGCTGCCCTTTGAGCCTGCTTTTGCTGGAAAGTGATGGATGGTTCTTCAGGGGAACTGGTTAATGGCCTTTGAGCTTTTTCCCCATTGACTTGGGTTTTAGGAGACTCCTGGTGTTTTAAGAGGAACATTTTAAAAGCCTGTTTATAAAGTATTGTTTCTTTATTTATTTTTATTTTTATTTTTATTTTTTTAGCTCAGGCTAGCCTGGAACTCACCACAGTCTTCACCTCACCCCATCAGTGCTGAAATTATAGGCATGCACCACCAAGCCATAAAACATTTTTCTTCGTTGCATGAATAACACCTTTCTTAAGGGAAACTGGGAAGTGCTGATTAACTGAAGCTAAGCCTCCTGTTTTGAAAGACAGTTTTCCTAACAGCACTTCCTAATGATATTTTGCGTAGTGTTAGCACGAAGCTTCTCAGAGATTTGACAGATTGCCTTGAAAACAGTGTAGAAAGCATTGCTTCCTGTACGGTGCTTGAAGTTCAGAGACCTGGACAAGGTGGCAGGAAAGCCACTGGGACTCGGAATGGCGTGCAGACAGATATCAAGGATGGTCCTGTTCTCCTAGGGTAGCCTCATGCTGCCCACCCCCCCTCCGAGAGGACACTGCCTAATAGGATGGGCGTGATGGCTCAAGAACCCCATTTTCCAGTGTTGCCACCTGAGCTGCGTTTGAGATGACAGCCATGGTTGGCGAGGTGATGTGTGACAGTCCTGTCAGGTGGTTCTAAGATGGTTCTGAGGTGCTCAGCTCAGGGACTCTATCAGTGGGAAGCCTGCTAAACACAGCCACTGCTTCCTGTTCGTGCAGCAGAGAAATTTGGGCCACACTGCAGCTCAGGAGAAACCTGCTGTGCCACCCAATCTTTTCCCTGCCTTCTATAAAACCGGATTTTTCTGTGTGTGTGTGTGTGTGTGTGTGTGTGTGTGTGTGTGTGTGTGCGCGCGCGCGTGCATCCACCCATATGTGCACATGGAGCCTTCTTTCAGAGGACTCTCTATGACGGTCAGGAGGCAACTCTCCCCAAGGTGACATTCTCCAACTGGGCTGAGTAGCCATATGTTTTCTTCTTTTAGGAAGGTCACTTCCTGTAAAATAAAATCAAATCTCCTCCTTCAAGCCTTGCTTCAAAGCTTTATTCTATGCTCAGATCCTCGGTCCTCAGACTGTAAATGCTCCGTAGCATCGCCATTGTTTATTCCCTATTTTGTTTTAACTGCACCAGCTATATCAACAACAACAACAAAAATTTGGGGCAGCTTTTAAGGAGCAGCTCAGTTCTGGCATGTCATTTATCTTCTTCCCCCCAAGTTTCTGCATATGCAGCCATCATTTTTATTTGATGAGCAGGACAGAATGATTACACTCTCTGCTGAATGACTCATCCCATCATTTAGGGCCTTCCTTCATGGTTGCCATGTGGTGGCTGCACACTTCTCTGGTGACTTGATTGGCTGTTATTTACCTAACAGCTCCTTCCTCTTGTCTCCTGTTCTTAACGGTGTCTTTCTCTCTCTGTCTCTGTAGGAAGTTCTCCAGCAGCTGATCGTAATGAATTTACCCAATGTTTTGATGATTGGCAAAGACCCGCTGTCTGGTGAGTGCAAGTGCCCTACCCCCACCTCCTGTAGTGCCTGGGCAATGCCATCAGTTTGGACAGCTGTTAGCCACAGCTCTGGCTGCCAGCTTGGAGCCAGCACAGTGAAGCACGTGATGGTTTTGGTGAGATCTTAAAGAGTGGTTTATTGTCCTGAGGCTTTAGGCCAAGCATGCATTTCTTCCTTTAGAGCATGAATCCCTCTCTGTCCTGAGATGTACATGCAGAAACAGAGAGGGCGTTTGCTTTGTCCCTTCAGAGGAGGTAGGTCTGATCTGGGGAGTTGGAATTGTGATGGGCTCTGCAGGTTCTGCTTCTCTGTAAACTCGGCATCCGGTTCCATTGTGGCAGATGCATGCCTAGATTGGGAAATAAGCACCTTTTTGGAAGCCAGCGTCTCTCCTTGGGGATCCTGCAGGGCAGGAGTCACAGCGTCATTCCTACTGCAGGTGACTCCCAGGTGGCTTGGAGCGGTGCCGGGCGGGCCCCTTCCACATCGTCACACTGCAGCGCACGGCGCGCACGCCAGCTGCAGGTTCTCTTTGTGCCGGCTTCTCCTTGTTCATTCACTGTGTGGAACCCTGGGGTGGCTGAGGTGTCACAGCAAGCGAGGGAGCCACACCTGCCTGGTGGGCTGAGGGCAGGGTCCTGATGACAGTTGGCAGTTTTTACAGAAGGAGCCTCACTCTGTGGGCTGCCCCTTGGCCTCGACAGCCCGGGGTCTAGCTGTCCTTTCTCCTGACTGGGACAGTACCTAAGCCGTTTTGAGACTGGAGGAAAAGCATACCAGTGACCAGCTCTTTTAAAAGAGCAGCTCAGTCGGTGGCATGGCCTTGGGAGTGTCAGCAATGGCTTCCTGATACTTTAGAAGTAGGCAGGACACTCTTTCTGGGCTCCAGCTGGCAACGAGTCTTTTTATTTTTATTTAATATTTATTTTTATTTATTTACTTTTTTTTTTTTTTTTTTTTGTACTCCAAAAAAAGATACGTCCTTGGCACTGGGCCCGTGAGCATTCATCACCATCACAATATGGTGTCCCTTCCACCACGTTGTTTGATGGCTCCTTCCTGCAAGGACCTTTCTCATTCTGTGCCATTGCATTAACAATGGTAGCCTTTGGTTCTCCAAACCCCCACTCTAGTTTCATTTTCTGCCCCTCCAGGAAGAGCTGGAGAAGGCCACATGTGGCCCATCCAACCACCTCTGAACTGCAGGGAAGGTTGGGGCCTTTGAGACTGGGGTGACACTGGGGAAGGGGGTCACTTTGCCAAGAACTGTGTTGCCTTCCAGGTGGATGAGAGGCTGGTGTTAGCCGGGAGATGGGAGGAGGGGGGAAATTCCTTGTAAGGTGGCTGTGCCAGCACGGGTTGCTGTCCTTTCTGCTTTGAGGGCAGCAGAGGAGCCGGAGAACTGAATGCTGGCTCCTGTGCCAGCCTTTGAACACATGTTAAAGTGTGGAAATGACTGTGCTTCTGGGGTGTGTCGGTGTCATTCCCGTTTATAGGTGAGGAATTTATTTGTGCACACACCCTTGTCACTAGGCTGATAAGCAGAGCAGCTGGATTGGCAGCTCAGGCTCTCTGGGGCCTGAGTTCCTATCTGTATCACACACCCTGTGTTTGGCAATTGCCAACATACAACCTTTTTGGACCGCATAGTTAAGTTATATCATGGTACTAAGAAAAATGTCAGTGGTGAATGACTGCATCAACACATTCTCTTTGCCCTGCCCAACCACTCAGTCATCTGTGCCACTCCCTCATCTTTCTGCTGCCCCCAGATCTGGAAGCCTTTTCTCTCTCCTCCCGTCTTCCTCAGGCCCCTCCACCCCTACCACAGACAGGTTGTCAGGAAAACAAGTTCTCGTTCCTGTGTGGCACCAAACCAGAATACCCATAGGAAGTAGATTCTTGTCAAGTTACAACTATTTGTTTGCTTCTTTGTTTGTTTGTTTGTTTGTTTTTTTCTTGGGGAGAGGGCACAGGTACATGTGCCGAGGCATGCCCGTGGTTGTCAGAGGACAACTTGCAGTAGCTGGGTCTCTCCTTCCACCATGTTGGTCCCAGGGACCAGACGTGGCTCATCAGCCATGGTAAGAAGTGCCTTTACCTGCTGAGCCATCTTGTCACCCCGATTTAAAACCGAAACCCAGCTTTTTTTGCATGCCGTTGAATGTCCCTCCCCACCCCTAAGCCCACACCCCGTTTACGGCAGTGGCTTTTCCTAAAGTGTACAGAATTATGTGACCCCCAGCAGGTGAGCCGAGTGGTTCCAGGACCCCCCTGTGACACATAATCAACAGGCTCGGGTTCCAGTTCCTAAGAAGTGATGAGATGAGACAGCATTGAATAGTACAGTGAAGAATGACACCCATGCCTAAGCCCAGCGGCCTACACAGGGCTGACTGACATGCTAGACAGTGGCCTCGGCAGGCTGTCTTTGAGGGCTTCCCTATGATGCATGGATGGGTAAGTTTGACAGGGCTCTTGAGGGATTCTGAGAGCTAGGGAGGATGGCAGGAGACATCTGCCAGCAAGAAGATGCAAACACAAATCCCAGAGGCAGAGAGACATATTTATGGGATCGTATTCTCAGTTTTTAAATTTTAAAAATAGATGTGTAAAGCATTTTGTGTTTCCTTTTAAACAAAGAACAGAGTTGGCATTTTAAAAGAATTGTGTGGCTGCCCTGGGGTAGAGAGAATTGTTCTTGGTTGGGTTTTTTTTTTTTTTTTTTGTCTCACTCATTCTGTCTCCTGCATCTAATGGGGGCACAGTTGAGCCATTTTTTGGCAGATGCCCACACCACATTGTTAATCATAGCATTCTGCTGTTTGAGGTTAGTTTTGTGTTGGCACATGCACCACAATGGAACAAGGTCTCTGATCCCGAAAGAGTGTGGAATCCACTGTGACACACCCTCCTGGCGCCACCGACTGCTCTCCTCTTGCTCACTACCCTCCTCTCTCAGGCACCCACAAGGGCAGCCCCTGTCAAGTCCTTGCTTGCTCATTGTACCTCCTCATTGAGGCTCTTCTGGCCTCCTTGTCCCTCTGCACCTCTGACCCAGTTATCCTGCCTTGATTTCCCTTCGCACCTAGCCCCTTTGAGTAGCCTTAGTGCCTAGATCAGGGCCTAGCATGAAATGTGTTTTCAGCGAACACAGCCACAACCTATGGGCTGAAAGTCTCCTCCCGTCTTCTTCCTGTCTCTCCATATGCTACCCCTTTTAAGCCCAGCTTCCTACAGCTGTTTAACCACTGACTTGGATACATAAAAAAAGGTCATCCGGGTGATGTTTAATCCCTGCTTGGTAACAGCTGTGCCTTCCTTAGGCCAGAGATGGCCCACAGAGAGAGAGCTGCGCTAGCCTGCCAGCTACATATCCATCAAGCCCATTTATTTGGTTTGCTGGTGAGAGTGTCCTGCAGGCGGTTTGCGGAGACCAAGGGCTCACATCAGCGCTAACTGTAGAATGAGGTAGAGTGGTGTGTGTGACAACTTATGGTGTCTCAGCAGCCAGGCCTGTCACTGTGCCACATTCAAAAAAAAGACTATAATTGTCTGACAAGAAGCCAGAGTGTTAGCAAATTAATCTCTGGGACGCATCATAGAACGGTCTGGAAGAGAGCTTTGTTCTTTCTTCCAAGGCTTGTATCCAAGCTCGGTGGTGGTTTACAGGCTCATAAATTGCTGATCTCATCTGCATCAGCTAGAATGGAAAGGGAGGAGCCTTAAAAGTATAGAGGCCCTGTTTGGAGACACACAGCACAGAGGTCTCTAGGTAAACATGCTTAAATCTATACACTCTGCAGATGGTTGTGTTTGTGGGTATTTGGCCATTTAGGTCCCAAGCAACACTGGCTACCACCATTGCCCTGCTCATTCTAAATTCCAATTCAGACTCCTGGGTTCTGTGGAGGGGTTATGACCTCATGTGTGTACTCTGCAGGGACCTCTCTGTGAATATAGCTGGAACTCTTGGGACCAGCTGTCAGTGCATTGGCCATTCATTGGTCCCAAGTTCTTGCATGGCTGTTGGAGCTAGGTCTCCAGCAGCTGGCAAAGCATTTGGGGTGGTCTGTGCATAGCCTTCCTTCTTGGCCATGTGCAGGACCCTGCCAGGCCTACTGCTCTGGTAGAGGAAACACAGGCCTGGATTCTGACCCTCCCAAGGAGACCCAAGTGCCCTTTCGTCTTTTTTCATGTTGGCTGGTTGCCCCTTGGCTGGAGCCATGCAGAAGGAGCTCAGCCCAAACCTGTCCCCAGCATTTGCTGTTCACATGCTCACTATTCTGGAACAAGGGACCATGGAGCCACAGAAAAGCCCCCAGTATGTACTGGGGCAGGGAGTTGATAGAGGAAAGTCCATAATGATGGGTATGCCAGCATGCCAGTGTGCATCTGTGCGCAGAGGGGATAATTAATCCTAACCAGGAAAATGGGGAGTGGTGGTGTTTGGCTAGGGCTTTGATGCCCTTTTGGCAGAAAAGACAAGTTACGCTTGCTTTCTGTCATAGAACTAATACCTGAGATGATCACCTTATACAGGGAGTGGTCTGTTTTAGATCATGTTGTTGGGACGATACAGCCTATTAATTCAGTTGCCTTGAAACAACTGAACTGCCCACCTTAGGGCCAGAGAACAAAGGAGGAAATGACCAGGGTCATGGCATGCCTCAATGACCCAAATTTTGAACTCCCCTTAGGCCTCATGTCTTAAATCTCTTTATTGTTCCACACTGGGACCAGCCCTTCAACACACAGGCCTTTGGGGGACATTCTCCATCTAGATTATAGAGCTGAAGAGGGGGTATCAGAGGTGGGAGGAGCTCAGGGTTGGAGACATTCAGGAGCCAGGCCTGCTGGGAGGAAGGCTTAAAGGCAGCCATGCCTCCTTACCCACTAAGGCGGCAACCTTAGTGGATGCCACGGAATCTTCCCTCACACAACCCACACAGAATAGCCCTGCACAGCCAGCTAGGGAACCATGCCTCCT